CATCAGAAGAGCCCCAGTAAAGACTCAACGGGCTTGTGGAGGAGAAGAAAGGAGAACAGATTCAAGGTTCTGGCACGTTTCAGAAAAACGTTGGACTGTGAAATGGAAGAACAACAGAGAATGGATCCTACTGCAGAGAGCAGGAAGATTATCACTCGATCAACTACAAGTGATCAGCAGTCTGTGCCCCACCGGTATCCCACTGGGATCTGGGACCTAAGAAAGAACCACTGGGAACAAAAATATGCCTACTTGTTCCGTAATAACAAGACAGCTGCTGGTTCTAACAAACAACAGCATTGGAACAGAAAAAACTCAAAAAATGTTTCCAACAAAGAACAATCCTGCCATCAGAATAACTTTGGGTCCAACAAATGGAGAGCAAACCCACACCAACAGCAAAACCTTTTCTCACATTACCATATGTTTGTTGGTAATCAACAGAACAACCAACATTCTTTCTACCAAAGAAACAGTCCTGGAAACTCCAGAACGCCTTTCCAGAGAAAAGGTTCTACATCCTACCAGGACCATCAAAAAGGTCCTGATGTGCAGAATGGACACAAATATCAATTGGGCTCACTGCGTGTGAAATGGAACAAATTCACGAGATCCAGAAACAATTTGCATTTCCGGTGAAAATTGTAGTGTGAATGCCACTGTTTTTACTTCAATACCTCTTTTTTACTTCTTTTTTCTACTTCAACTGTTCATAAATCGTACGTTTGGGACTTCGGTGCTTGCGTGGGTGATGGCAGTGGGACCTGGAGAGGCGTGGCTGGGAGGAGCAGCCCCCCCGATCTGAGTCCGAGCGGTGTTTTGTTGTTGGGCTTTTGTGCTCGTCATGGATTGTCTGTGGCGGGCACCACGTTCAGGCGTGGGGGTGTCCATGTGTGCTCTTGGCGCCAGGACACACTGGGCCGCGGTTTGGTGATTGACTTTGTTGTTGTTTCGTCTGGTCTGCGGCCGCGTGTTTTGGACGCTCGGGTGGAGATGGGGGCGGAGCTGTCGGCTGGCCAGTGCCGGTGGTGAGTTGGCTCCGTTAGTGGGGGAGGATGCCAGACGTGTGGTGGGGGGTTTGCTGGGGGCATCTGTCGGAGTCTCCCGTCGGGCGGAGCTTCGGCTCGCACCTCTGGGAGAGCTTCGAGCACGTTTGGGTGGGGGATGTTGGGTCCGAGTGGGCCATGTTCCGTGCCTTCGTTGTCGAGGCGGCTTGCCTGAGCTGTGGCAGTGGGGTTGTGGCAGATGCACAGACAGATAGCCCCATTCAAAGTCAATGGGAAAAAATGCTTAAAAATTGAAATGGCTAAAAAAGTATAAAAATTAAATATACTATAAGTCATTGCCAAAATGGCAAGAATGAGCAGAACATTTTGATTTATGTATTGTAGAAACAGCACAAAAAGTGCGAAAGAAGATAGGGCCAGTCTTTTTACTGCCTGCACCACTCACTCTTCTATTGGAAAGCTTCTTTTTAAAACTTGCCTTTTATTTTTGGGCATCAGGGCATTTTGATGGTCCAAGGACTGGGAGGAAAACCTTTATCTGATCCACGTCAGGGCTCAGGAGGTCCTGAAGCCTCAGAAGACTGAGGTCTGAACTCATCAGGAACCCAGAACCTCTTCAGAACGCAGACACCTGAACTTAGAGCTGCTCTTCAGGAGGAGTCAAGTTTTACACATTAACTTTTTATTTAACTTTAAGTTTAAGTTGTTAAGTTGGTTTAAGTTTAACCAGCTAGTTTGACCAGGTTCAATTAGCAGGGTAAGAGCATAGTTTTGCTCAAAATATTGCAATGCACATAACATTATGGGTGACATACCAGAGTTCAAAAGAGGACAACTTGTTGGTGCACGTCTTGCTGGAGCATCTGTGACCAAGACAGCAAGTCTTTGTGATGTATCAAGAGTCACAGTATCCAGGGTAATGTCAGCATTCCACCAAGAAGGACAAACCACATCCAACAGGATTAACTGTGGATGCAAGAGGAAGCTGTCTGAAAGGGATGTTATGGTCTAAAACCAGGTGTTTCAGTTTTATTGTCTAACCCCTGTACATGGATGAAGGATAAAATGTAATCAAACATAAATTTGACTCATCAAACCTAAAACTGAATAAATCTATCAGAAGTCTAAGTTTTAATACACAGCAAATTAATTTTACTGTGCCTAAACTAACAATACTTTATATCACTAGATGGCAGCAAAGCTCCTCTTTGCTTCTCTCTCAGGGGTCCTGAGTTCACCATCAGTGTAGCTGTGTCTTTTTAACGTGAGTTTTTATTCATGCAGATATCATATAAATTGTTTCAAATAAAACAGGTAAAACTGGTGATGTTTTGCAAAGATCACTGTGCCGCTAATGGCCATGTTTCAGTTATGAGTTGAACGAAAACTTCATTAAAAAGATTTGTTGTTACAGGAGCCTTCCTGTGTAAAATGACTATGATTTTTGTAGAAAACCAAACAGATTCCTGTGTGTTTTTATAGCTCTGTGCAGATTTGTAGCCTCTAAATTTGTTTAAGTGTTATATATCCAGTCAGTCAGGATGGCTCCTGTTTAATCTTCAGTGATATGACTTCATTCTTTAATATCTAAACATTTTGCTGGTGTTCACAACAGTTTACATTTGTTATTTGATGTTCCTATGCTTTATTCAAAGCATCACGAGTTGTTAAAAAAATGTCTTTTTCCTGAAACGTTTGAGACGTATTTTTCAGTCGTGCATCTAAAGAGTCTTTCAATGAGTGTTGGATCAATAATTTCTTGATATTAACTGGAAAGGTCACAACAATAAATAAAAATAAGATGGGAGTTTGAAACATCGCTGAACACACAAGAACTTATACTGCAACATTTTTAAAGGGGCAATATCATATAAAATCAAATTTTTTGAGTTTTATAACATGTTATAATGTTATACTCTCATAAAAAACATGCCCAAAACCTTGCTTTGACTGTGCAGTGCAGGCAGGATAAACCCAGGCTGCAGGCAAAAATCCAAAGTTTAACAAAAGATTTATTAATAAAATAAAAAGGCTGGCAGGGCAGCTCAAAAACTCTCAGGAGAACAGGAACACAGAGAACACCACACTGGCTGTGTAAACAGCACAATGAATGGACCAAAAAACACCCAGCCTGCAGGCAATTTTTCTTTTTCTGGGCTGCCCCCTCCACCTTCCACTGGGGAAGAGGGGAGCCCTCCACCTTCCGTTTTGGGTCGTCTGCGATCCAGCCGTTCACCTTCCGCTCTGGGTCTTTGGCGAGGGTGGCTGAGGGCATTGGCGCCCACCCTTCCACCCCTCTTGTTCCTGAGTCGGTGGTTCCGGAGGTTCTTGAGTCAGTGGTTCCACGGTTGGTGGTCTCTGTGGTTCCGAAGTCGGAGGTCTCGGTGGTCCTTGAGTCGGAGG